ATTTATAAAATATTATGAAGTTGTAAATTATTTATAAAAACAAGAATACAGCAGATATTTCTGAAATAAAATTATTGGGCCTATGCCCTGGCCTTCGGATAAAGTCCCCGTTGACTGCTGCCGTTACTTTTACTAAGCAGATTCAGCCTCGCTCGAAGGTATTGTTATATGCTACTAGCTGAAAATGCACGGGAAAGCACGAAGGCGTATGGCAGACAAGAGTATACGAGTTTGGGAATGGGTGCTTCTGAAAAGCCACGCAATGATCAACATAAATCGGTTTTAATTATCTTAATGGAATTGTTTATTAACCTACGATTCATTTATAAATTGAGGCTTGCGCCACGATGATAATTGCTAGTGAGTGACTGATAAGAACGCCGCCATCTTGTTCGCTGCCATGCACACGTAACGATTGTTCACCTATTTTTACATAAATATTAAAAATATGAGCTTGTTTGATCAAGTTCTTTAACAAATTGTTTCATGAGACCTAATTTTATATGCAGTGGAGGTAAGATAATTTTTCTGGGATCAACTAATGCTTCATGAAGAATGTTCTTTGATCCTGGTTTCAGATTTTTTCTGGTTGGCCACGATTTTATTGACCAGTGTTGGTCATCAGCTGTACTATCCCGCTCACAGATGAAGCATGGGTATTTAGTATATTCACCTTGCTGACCACGAAGAATGGATATGACTTTAAAGTCTGTATATATTACCTATTTGTGTTTTGCATACTCTATTTTTTCTAAAAGTAACTTCATATTTTCATACTTTTCATCAAGGGTTGTTACAATACACTAATGAATCTGTTTCTGAAAAAAATGGATGAATTCTTCCTCACGATATTTATACCACGTAAAACGTACCTCTGGAAGTAAAATATCCTTCTCTTGTAACTTTCAAGCTAATAGTATTAAGTTATCTTTGGAAAGGCCCAAATCTCGTATTAAATCGTTCAATTTAGTTTGATTAAATGGGTGGAACTTTTTAGTTGATGAACGTAATTCTGTGTTACTGTACACTACTGAAAATTCATTGTCATCCAGTTTTTTTTTTTTTATTTTTATTTCCTTCTTCATCTTTTTCTTCTATTTTCTCTAAAATATGGGATTAGACAGAGACCTTTTTGAGAGCTTGTCGATGAGCAACATGGTTTTGAAACAAAGGATAAAAAATTATGATTGTCTGATTTATGAGGAGTAGGCTTTGTAATTGACTCTACAATACATTTGCATATTTAATAGTATTTCTATTTTTAGAATTTAAAGTACGAATTTCTTTACCACCATAACATAAACAAAAGTAACAATCATTGATATGATCTCGTGGTTCTCTCTATATTGTTGGAATTCAAAATGGTATAGAAATCCTAGATCCATTTTTCCAAAGAATAAGAGATGTTCTGTAAGTACTACAAATAGTGTTAAGGACTCCACTTTTATTTAAATTAATAAACTCTTTCTTAAAATATACTTTATAAGCTATTTTTACATACTCTGTTATTGTTTTACGCTGTTCACAAAGGAGTAAATTTAGGACAAACATTACAAAATGTCTGTAGATTATTGAGACACTTCCGTGAAGACGTAAATAAACAGTTTTTCAATGAGTTTTTACGGTAAAATATTTGCAGAGTTTTTTAAATCAGAGTATGTAAATCAAAACGTTTTAAACTTTTAATACTAGAGATGATTTAACGAAAACAAGCAAAACGTAAATGTAAATTTTTTTGGACTTCTGGAATTTTAATGTGTTTTAACAGAATTAAGCTTTGTGCGCTACAGTACTTTAAATCTTAAACTTTAAATCTTAAAAGATCCAGATAAGTTAATTTGCAAATTTTGCAATAAGAGTACTTGCTGTTGTAATTGCTGGGCTAGACATTTTCAATTAACTTTTTAACTAAGAGTATGATAGTTATTTGAGTTCGGGGTATATGGAATTTGAGCAAGAAGGGTAAGAGTAAAAACACGAGGAAGAAAAGTATAGGCTAAAATGAACATATTAAGCATCTATGTTATATTAGCTGCCTGAAATTTCCAATATAACACATCACATTCTCAAGAAGCAACCATTGAAGTGACTACCATTTTTAAAAATAAATATCATGTCAAAATCTGAAGTAATAAATTATTTCGCTTTAGGATACCATACGTATGTGCTATGAAAATTTAGCATTTGAATTTAGAGCAGGGTATGGTAAATTTCAAGGCTTGTAGTATAGCTAAAAGTATGTTTTATTAAACATGGAATGAAGAGGGTTGGATTTGCTAAAATTTTACTTGATCGAAGACTAAGTGAGCAGACTTTAATGGATTTAAAGGAACAGGGTTTGGTGGATTTCAAGACTTGTGATTTGGCTAAAGGCTTGCTCGATCAAGTTGGAGAAAGCCGGATTTGGTAGATTTCAAGGTTTGTAATTTAGCTAAAAGTTTACTCGATTAATTGAGAGTGAGCAGTGTTTGGTGGATTTAAACGCATATCATTCAGCTGTTGTTTGAGTTGACTGAACTTGGAGAGATCTAAGTTTGGTGGATTTGGAGGCATGCTATTTGGCGGAATCTTCGCTTTATTTTATTTAGATTGAACAGATTTTAAAGGATTTCCAGACTCGTGGAAAAGAAATCACATATTCAATACTATTTTTACAAATTAAACTAGCAAGTGAAGCTAATTGTCTATTTGGAAAACTCTTTAATGTAAGGTTAATTTCTCGTATTTAATGTGAACGGAAGCTTAATCTGTGAAAGATTTTCATTTATTTCAAAACAAAGCTATTAACTCAGACTTTTGGTGTTTAAATTATTTTCATTAATAAAAAGTAATAAGAGTATTGAAATCAAATGCAAAAAACAGCCTTTTGTGTATTAGCAAGCCTGTAAAATCTTAATATTCAAAATCTTCAAAATTGAATATCTCTGCGAAAAATAATGATATTTGAGCAAACTCAACGGCATTTTGAAAAAAAAATAATTCTTTAAGATACTCTGCGTATAATTTCTGTTCGTCGAAATATAACGAGTGCTACATAACCTCAAAAATGGCCAAAAATGGTGTTTTTTGCACTTTTAGGTTAGAATATTTTGAAAATCTGATGTGATAAGGTATTTCGGAGCCCAGATTCGGATTCAGTGACCTAAAATTGAACGGAAATTACTTGTCTTATCCAATGTATATTTTTCAAGTCGGACTGTGTAATATACTTATTTCAAAGAATTTACATTTTTGATCGTATCACATTGATTTTGGTTTTCATTTCTATTTTATTTAACTTAACTTATGAATTTATTATTGCTTATTATTTAATGGCTCATAATTGAATCAATTGTTTTACTTATGATATAACAACAATATCAAAAACAATGTCTCGCTTGATCAAAGATGAAAACAAACAAATGTTTAATGGTAGTTTAGTTTAGAAATAATCTTCAGAAAGTTCATTCAGAGTTTGATGAGAATTTTGGAGTTTGTATAAGTTGTCTTACTATTCTGAATTAGGAAAGTCAGTTACAATATGATCCATCTTGTTCGAGATAAAACATTTTATTGGTTATGAAAAATAATACTTGCTTTGATTTATTATAATAATTTGTTATAATGCCACGACACTCGGTAAAATATAGATATATTCGTTAGGAAAAATATTTTTATACTTGATTTATGTACGTTGTTATGTTGTGATTGCACCCTTTCAAGCTGCTTGCATGAATTAGTTAAATTGAAATTAGTTAATTAGTTAATTAGTACTTTGGAATATTTGAAAGATTTCAGAGTAGACGTTTATCAAATAAGCTTATCACCGTCTTATATCTAAGACAAATTATGCAGGATCAATCTGCAATATTAGAACTTGATGAATATAGATTTAAAGGTTCATATACGTACAAGTATTTCCTTGATTTTACAACACGCTATCAACTATGGATTCATATAATTCTACAAATAATAAAAATCAGGAGAACAATAAACCTATATTAGCTTATTATTGTACTTGTAAAACAGGTGTTAGAACGCTTGGAAAATGTGTTCACATTGTCAGCATTCTTTGATTTCTTGACGGTTAGCATTATCTAAAAAGTAAATATCTGAGTAACAGTGTACTTAAAAATTCCGACGAACTAGATGGAAGACACAATTCTCGTGAAAAAGCACTTAAATAGACAATAATTTTTTTACTTTTTATGATTACATTGAAGATTTTGATCTATCCATATACAGCCTAGATTTGGCCGTTATAACCACTTCCCTCAACCAGCCGAAAGATATCTTCTTTAATCATACCGGACGACTTTTTGCTTTGATTTTCTCAATCGTAGTGACTTCTTGCCTTAATCGCCCGGAGGTAATTCTCGCCTTAATTAGCAGAGTAATTAAAATATTTTAAAAGGGGGAATTCAGGAGGTATGAATGCTTCTACAACTGAATAGTGCACCAAATCACTGAATCTTTAAATCACCATCTTCTTCTCTGATGTCGCTCGCTCTCGACTCTACTAATCGCCGTGCAGCGCATCTCAAATAGGAGGAAAGAGACATGAGAGTACACACATATGCACACACTCTTAGTCTGACAAAGCGCACAGATATCACGTCGGTAAGAACTCAAACGGCAGAATACCGACATAACCGTGATTTTTCGTTACAATACACACATACCTACACACGCACACATAACACATAAGCAACAGATCGGAACTGCAGTTAGATCCGCAACGAGCATAGAAAGATTCTTCCAACGGTGTTAATAATTAAATTTATTTAACTCTACTACTACAAAATAAAGATCTCTTCTGAAAGAAACAATAACAATTATTTCGCATAAATGCAATTTTTCTAAACATCTATTTTAATTCACTAATTTCTTAATTATCTTTTAATATTTTTTACCAAACGTTATAAAAGAAGTGTTTATAATGAAATAATTTATTTGAATATTTTTTTCAATAATTAATACTTATTATTCAATATTTCAAAAAATTTATTGATATGTAACATTATAAAATCAATTCATTACAATTGTTTATTATAAAAAGCAAATGGATAGCATAAGTAGTTTAGGTTGAAAAAGATTACTGTACAGTTATCAATATTCCTGAAGGAATGTTTAATTATTTTATCTTGCAAAACTTTTGAATGCAGCAGACTGTGGATTTATGCATAGCGGTACTCGAGAATTATTTAGTTGATCCACAATAAATCTATGCATCTCTTCTGTAAAAAAATGATATAATTATTAATATCTAGAAGTGCAAAATCTTTATCTTTCTTAAATTATGATAGGACAAATTTATTTATAAGTATTAAAAAAATTGGTAAAATAAATGAAAATGCTTCTTGATATGATATAATTTAGCATAGTCAAACTATTAATTATAGAAAAATATAATATTATTGATCATGTATGAATGTTTTGCTTCTGTAAGTGTCTATTTTGAACATATTCTCTTACTTGGGTAGTAACTTTTGAAAATGTTAGATACACTGATCGGCAATTGAGACCCAGTTCTAAGTGGCATCAACGGTCATAGTGCGGATACGTGTGTTCATAATACTATTCAAAAACTAATTGTATGACAGACCAACATAACGTACAATAACGCACATGCTTGATCATGCTAATAAGTAAACTAGAAAGATGTTAGGTCAGGGAGGTATCGTATAAGCCGAAGAATCGACTCACCCATAATCTGACGTTCGTGCGTCTTAAGATTAACATGCCCAGAACACACCACCAAGCTTTGACTATGATACAGAACTCTCTCTCTCCGCTTCATTAATATTTATTTAGATTTATATTTTTGTTTTACATCATTTTCATTCATAAAATATACTTATAATTTTGTTTTATTTTATACAATGAGAATAAAAATCAGGAAAGAATAAAAAAAATTATAGTTCACAAAGGCATAAAAACAATATATATAAGTTTACACAATCTGTAAAAATTATGAAAATTAGAGTGGTTTTAACGATAAATTTTGCAATGGTAGTCGATTCGATAAATCGATCCGTTCACGATTCTGTAGCACATGATGCTAAAGCGAACGACTAAGAGAAAAAGCAGATGCACGAGAGTTTAAAAGTTTCAGTTAAGCCTCAGCTGTTACTAGTGAGAGTACCGCCAAAATAGTTTTGCACAGTGTTTCAACGATTCGCCAATAAAAAGTTTACCTGGATTTTGGATACGTGTGCAAGGGTGAGCGAGGAAGTAACCACAGCAGCAGCATCACAGCAGCAGCAACTAAGGCAACAGCTACTAAGCAGCAGATTCGCGAGCGAGGCAGCGCACGTGCAGGTCCACTTCATCGCCAGCAACTGAGCAGTCAGCAGGACGAGGTAGCATCGCCAGCGGCAGCATCTGGTCAGGGCCCAGAAAGGAGAAGACGGTTTCGCCAGCAGTAGTTCACCTTCGTGGCCGGTGGTTCAGCGCCCAGAAAGGTCAAGTGTCCCTTTTTCCTAACTATCTCTCTTTCTTAGTTTACCGGTTAGACTAACAAGGGAACCACCCCAACCCTCCGCCTCCGATTTTTCTGTAATTGAGATTGTTATAGTTCGTAAAAAAATAAAAGACCCGTATTTTTTTTTATCGGCAGAAAAAGCTATCTAAGGAATGTAACCCACCCTCAAAAACCAAACTCCAAAAGCAGTTCTATAGCAATATCTTTAGTCGTAATGAATATTTTTTTATGAAACAAAAAAAGAAAAGATACTTATAAAAAAAGTAACAGACACACATCAATTTGGTCCCCGGAGATTGTAACCCCTACGTTGTATAGAGAAAAAACTGCATTTTTAAGTGTATTTTTACCTTACAAAATCAAAACATTATGTTAAAAAAATTTAAAAAATGATATTCTAGTAGAAAATAATAAAACAAAATCGACGTGTTTCAGGGTTTTCCTATTATCTATTATTTCGAGGGTGAAATACCCCTTAATGTTATTAATACAATATAAGCAGTTGTTAATCGCAGATTATGCTGGTTATTTCATGTTCTATTACGCTCAAAAAAGCTAAACACATGTATACTTTTGTTCTGCCGAATAAACTATTTAGAGGGTGAAAGTTACCCTCGAAAGTTACCCCTCAACACCATTTTATAGCGAAATTTTCGTATTTTATGCACAGTTTTCGACAAAAATTCTTTAAAAAAATTTCAGCTAAATATATGGATTTCGTCTACATCGGTTGCAACCCCCTAAATCGCCTGAAAGAAAAGCTATGTTTTTAAATATTTTCTTGCAAAATTTTTTCAGAAGAAATGAAGTTTATGAAATTCCATTTAAAATCTTCTTTGTTACCCTGAACCCCCACTACTCCGAAACCAATTTCCTTAAACCTCGAGCTAGTTACCCCATATAACCCACGCTATAACCCGTAACTCCTACACCCCAATTTCATCACCCCGCGAGCTGGTTACCCTGCCACGCTCTAACCCCGAACTCCTACACCCGCATTTCATTAAACCTCGAGCTGGTTACCCTGCCGTTTCCAATTTTCTAGTCTGAAACGCGGTTCTCTGTTATTCATAATCCCCATTTCGACATATTTGTAATATCACTAAAGAAAAGGACATAGGTGAAATAATTGTAGAAGATAAAGTTAAATTTATTTTATTTTTATGTTATATTTACGTTATATTAATTCGTCATTTCATCTGATATTGAGATAACATTTTTTGAATATAAATAGACGATCCGCGCTCATTGTCACTGTACATATTGTGAACAATAATGATACTCTATAAATAAATGCTGTAGACATATTAGCTTCTTGCTCCATGCACATTTTATAATTGCTATTTTCTCACAAATCTCGCAGATAGGCTGTTCTGAAATTTCGAAGCAATATTCAACAGGATTGTCGAACGAATCAGATTTTTTATCCAAGTACCCACTATTGTACCAAGCATATTTAAATACGCTTTTGAATGTAGGTGAAGATAATTGATTATGTGTGATAGACTGTAATTTTATAATATTATTCCTCTCATGTAAACTGATGTCTGATCCGAATAAAATAATGGCATCAGATATTTTTCTTACAAAGTTTTTCCAAAATCGAAAACCGAATACATCCAGTGGTTGAATTTTGCCTGTCGTACCCTTAGGAATTGTCATCAATCGAAAATTTGTATCTGCTGGTGCCACATACAGTTCGTTCACACTGTCCATTCCATGAGTTTAGTAATAAAACTGCTGTTTTCCCATAGTTAGAAAAAAATACATGTTGCAACTATGTTTGAGGTAATTCACTCAACAGCTTTACTGATGAACTTGCTCGTAAAAATATATTAGGTGCAATGAATAGTTTTTTTGAAACAATGGGTCCAAACTCTCCGTTTGTTTCTTTTAATACCATAAAAACGGGTGATAGCAATGTACCTTCAGCAGATATTGTCGGTTGAATCGTATAACTATGCGTAGTCAATGATACTGATTGTACTACTGATTCGACTGTCTTCTTAACTTTTTCACTCAATGTTCTGCCAGCATGTATTTCTAAATTGAATCCACTTTGATCGGAAGTATATATGTTACTGGCACTTTTGGTTGATAATTCTGTTTTTATGAGGTTGATAAAATTTTGACAATCTAACTTTAAACTAGCCTCATATTCAACAGATACTTTAGTCACATATTTAGTTATTTTACGCGATATAATTTTATGCTTTTTTTGAATAGTAATATCCAATTGGGTGAAGCTTTAAACCAAGGCATATCTAACTCATACTTTTTTTGTAAATTCCATCTTTTAAGATCTAAATCTTGCATTGTTAACTTCCGACTTAAAGCATCTTTGAGTTATTGTAAAGTATATTATGAAACTTTGAACAGATTCACTCTTTTGGTCCCGCCTGTCAAAATTTGCTGTTTCCATGTTCCCAACTAACGTTCTGACGAAACTTGTTTATATTTACTCTGGACGGAAGTTAAAGACAGTTTCTTTTTCTTACCATTTTCCCAGTATTCAACAGCTTTTCTTTTATATCCATCGTCGAGTAGTTCCAATCTTACTATTTGAACCACATGATCCGCATTCGTTGATTCTGGTTTCCACGTCATGCCACAGTTTGATTTTGTTGTGCCACGCACATACTCAAGTGTGTTTAAGGTGGAAAATAAGAATAACATTATCTCATGTCAGTATTTTTATATTGGCAAAAACCGCCCCGCGAAATACGTACATATACCTATTAGTATGGCAAATTCAGTTTGTCTAATGAATTTTTTCGTAATAACATAATAATTAAATTTCCTCAGAGATAGTAGTAATATTTGTTGAACATAACGATTTAAAAATGAAATTCCCCGTAGCTATTTCGAACTTTAAATATTTGCATGATTTTGTAGTTGCATTTGCTATTTCTTACCTATACATAAATATACGTAATTAATTAAACGTTATCTTCTACAAAAAATGTGCATATGTCCTTTTATTTGAAGATACTATAAATATTTCGAAATCGGGATTATGAATGACAGGGAGCTGGGTTCCGGATTTCGGAAAATAGGAATGCAGGAGTTCGGGGTTACAGCGTGGCAGGGTAACCACCTCGAGGGTTGATGAAATTCTGGTGTAGGAGTTCGGAATTACAGCGTGGTAGGGTAACCAGCTCGAGGATTAAGGAAATTGGGGTTAAGAGTTTTGGGTTAGAGCGTGGCAGGGTAACCAGCTCGAGGGTTGATGAAATTGGGGTGTAGGAGTTACGGGTTATAGTGTGGCGGGGAACTAGCTCGAGGTTTAAGGAAATTGGGTTGGGTTCGGGGTAGAAGGGTAACAAATGAATGCTCTGTTCACTCTTCAATGAAGGGGTAGCAGCCCCTGGTGACGGATACTGTATACTTTTTTGGAAGATTTTAAATGGAATTTCATAAACTTCATTTCTTCTGAAAAAATTTTGCAAGAAAATATTTAAAAACATAGCTTTTCTTTCAGGCGATTTAGGGGGTTGCTACCGATGTAGACGAAATCCATATATTAAACTAAAATTTTTTAAGAGAATTTTTTAAAGTTTGTTTTGTCGAAAACTGTGCATAAAATACGAAAATTTCGCTATAAAATGGTGTTGAGGGGTAACTTTCGAGGGTAACTTTCACCCTCTAAATAGTTTATTCGGCAGAACAAAAGTATACATACCCTGGTAAAAAAATGACGTTATAAATAACGTTATTAAATAACATCATTAATGACGTTATTTATAACGTCATTGTTCGTGTCATGTTTTGGAACGTTTAATAACGTTATTTATTTTAAATTTTTGTTAATTTAAAGGATAAATAACGTCATTTTTTTAAAATAATAACATCATTTCAACAAAATAACGTTATTTTTCAAAGAAATTATTTGATTCGTGAAATCAAATAACGTTATTTTTTAGATGCAATAACGCCATTCGAAGAAAATCACGTTATTTTAAAACGCTTTTGTTGCTCTAGAAAGTAAATAACGTTATTTTTTAGATGCAATAACGTTATTTTTCAGATGCAATAACGTTATTTGAAATTATTTGTATATTGAAATGAAATAACATCATTTATAAGAAGCAATAACGTTATTTGAATAAATTAACGTTAGTTTTTTAGATGCAATAACGTCATTTCTAGTCAATGGATTGTGTCAAAGTTCATAAGGTTCAAAAAAAGAAAATACGTCATTTTCTATCATTTTAACACTTTATCATACATGTACATTTTTACATTATATCATTATTTATATGATGGTTTGTATGTCACATAGTATACTTGAAAGTGTATGGTATCAATAATTTTACACTTTAAAAAAAATATATTCATAATCATCATTCCTACATCGTAAAATAATATTTTTTAAATTATTATTAAACTTTAAAAGCAATTATAGTACAAAAAGTAAAACACTAAAATAAATATGGTAATTTTTAAACTTCTTAAAATAGTAATAGGAACATCTTAACATCTTGAACATAAAAAAATGGTAATAGAACGGTTTTAATTTACGATTCATTGATCCCCCTCAGATAAACCTGTTTCATTCTCAAAATCATCATCTCCTATCGGGTATTCATCTTCATCTTCTTCGACTCTATTAAAAGCATATTGATCTTCATCTCTTTCAAAAGTATCACCTTCATCCTCATCTTCATCATATGTCTCAAAATCATCATCCTCTCCTTCGTCTTCATCTTCATCAGCCTCAGTTAGAATTTTATCACAATACTTTGCTTTACGAAATTCCTCAGAATTATTCAAATAAGCTTGTCTGTCCTGCGCAATGAGAATTCCCAGTTTTCTTCCGAATTTCTGTATTTCTCCCAGCTTTTGTTTAGTAGTCATATCATTCCGAATTCTTCCATGCTCCATTAGAAATTGAATTTATCCACCTGTGAATGGAATTAAAATTTAGAAAAGAAATTTGTTAAAAGTATCATAAAGTTAATTAATATTACGTTTTAATGCCTCAAATTTTTTAAGATCAACAGAAATCCGGTTATCGGTATTCTGTGTGCGCTTAACTTGTATAGCTAAAAGAATGAATTCTTCGGGTTCCCAGAGATAAGGTATCAGTTCCCTCATAAACTTATAGTATAGTCGGTTTTGGCCCGTTTGGCTTTTTTCCAAGCCTTATCAGGCACAGAAACTCCAAAATGTAAATGAAACATTTTTTTCTGAAAAAAATACACTGCCCGTCAATCACTTTTGCCATGCTTACCTCAAAATTAGGCAAACTTGAAAGTTTTGTATCTCGGTCGGAAATCATCGTATCACAAAAACCAGCAGGGCATTTTAAAGGTAATTTCAAAAGCTTCTATTTAAGACGTACAGAGACTTAAAAATGAAAATTTGTGTTTTTTACAGTAAAAAAACTGATTAAAAAAATTTCAATTTTTTTAACCTCGACTTAAATCAATGCCAATTTAGAACCAGGCGGTGGAGGGCAAATCGACCTGAAGGGTTCGGAGGGTAATATCTTTCCCTTTAAAATTAGCCCCCGCGGGGTTCTATCCGATGTTTTTTAACCGAGTTACGGCGTTTTTTGTAAAAAAATAACCTTTTTTCTCAATCCTCAATTACTTCAACTTACGTACGTTTTGGAAAAAAATGCCAAGGAGAAAAAAGTTTCATTTTGTGCCCAAGAATACGGAAAAAAAGTCAAAATAAAGAAATAGAGAAAAAATTTTTTTTCGGTTCTTTAGCGCATTAGAAAAATAAAGGAATTTAACTTTTTTTTTACGCTTCGTTTTAAAATGTCTAGGGACGTAGTAAATCACAAAAAAACTAAAACTAAGCGTAAAAAAAAAGTTCAATTCCTTTATTTTTTTAATGCGCTAAAAAACCGAAAAAAATTTTTTTCTCTATTTCTTTATTTTGACTTTATTTTCGTATTCTTGGGCACAAAATGAAACTTTTTTCTCCTTGGCATTTTTTTCCAAAACGTACGCAATAATGGGCTAATTTTAAAGGGAAAAACATTACCCTCCCAACCCCTCCGGTCGATTTGCCCTCCACCGCCTGGTTCTAAATTGGCATTGATTTAAGTCGAGGTTAAAAAAATTGAAATTTTTTTAATCAGTTTTTTTACTGTAAAAAACACAAATTTTCATTTTTAAGTCTCTGCACGTCTTAAATGGAAGCTTTTGCAATTACCTTTAAAATACCTTGCGGTTTTTTGTGATACGATGATTTCCGACCGAGATACAAAACTTTCAAGTTTGCCTAATTTTGAGGTAAGCATGGCAAAAGTGATTGACGGGCAGTGTAAATGTTAAAATTTGTAGAGTTTACTATATAATGAAGATTTATTATGAAGTGATCAAGATACGAAAGCTTACCGCTGGCTTATCATCTCTTTGTTCTTGGGTCCAAGCGGTTAACCTTGGTCTTTAAGTCACAGTCTGATTGCATGTAATCGTCACTATCGTAGAGCACAGATTTTAATTTTCTTTAGTATTTCTTTTTTTTGTTTAATCTTCTTCAATGATTTTTTGTTTACGGCTTCATTTGTTTCTTTCCTTTCACTTTTTTCGTTTCTTTTATTTCTTTTTTTTTCGACAATAGCTCTTTCTTTAAAAGTCAATTTCTTTTTTTTTTCAAAATAATTTCATCTTGATCGTTGGTTAATTTTTTTTTTCTTTCACTTTTGCTTTCAAAATTTGTACGTTCTTTTTCAACTCTACTTGTTGATGCTATAGGTGTTACATGTTCATGGTCAGTAGAAGCTCTGCTTGTCGATGGCGTAATTTGTGTGTGTAAACTTCTTTTACCACATGAATATATAGATATAGAGTGTTTCATTTTAGATATATCTGGAGATAGATGCTGTAACTGCCTAATTGGTCTTCTGATGTTTCTATAATTGACTTCAGAAGAAGATCCATCCATTATATCTGAAATATACACATGTTCATAATAAGTATCATAATAAATGAGAATCTAAAATCATTCTGAATAAACTAGAAAATATTTCTAAATTACAGCGTTCTTACTATTTAAAAAAATGTTGCATGGTTGAATAGGATGTTTTTTAGAATACTGTACTGACGAAGGAGTTTTCAAATTTTTATCACTATAGGTAGAAGGTGGAGTTTCAGCATTTTGAAAAGTGGAAGCTTTTTTGTTCTTGGTAGTATTTGATGTAGATGGAGTTTTGGCTGAGTAATTGCAAGAAGAAATAATAGGAGTAGCATTTATTTCAAGTGAACATTTATTTTGTAATGCTTCTAATTGTTTTTTCAAATTATTTATTATCTCATCTTTATCTAAATTTGTCTCTTTATCATCTTAATCAAAATCTAATTTATTGTGCACTATATTTACCTTATCATTCATATATGATAGTGCATCTGATACTGAGGGAGGTACATTTCCAGTCTAAATAATAAATGAATTATTACATTAAAGCACTTAATACAAAAATTTTTAATGTAGTTCATACAAATACCACATTCTATGTGCATCAAAATTATAATTATATGAAATCTAATAATCAAAATATTGCTATAGTTTATAATAAAAGTGGAACAATAAACACTAATAAAAATAGATAAGATCAAAATTGAATATATACCATCAACTATAGTAAGAATATTAAATGCTAAATTTACAACGACTATTTTTACAAAATTTTAATTGATTGACTTTTGAACTATATTTCAAGTATATTGTAGCATAAAAACCTAGTTTGATAGCTCTTCAGATAGCCCTTTCTTGCCCTTTCCTTTTTCTTTGACATTCGTCAATTTCGTTGATTTTGTATCCTACTGTTTTTGAGCCAATTCCCGGACAACGACACTGAGTCTTTTATTTGGCTTTTATTTGGCTTTGGCCACCTTTTTTGAATAGCTTCCAATGTGTCTTTTGATTTTGATACAAAAAATTTCATGGTGCTAATTAGTATGTTGTTGTACAGGTTTTACTATTTTTAGAGTCGATTGATTGAATACAAAAATTTTTTTTCTTAAAAATTATTGTTTTGTTTACTATTTTGATTTTATTTTTATGTTCTGTTTGTATTATCGCTTTCGAATTTTCTTTTACTTACTTGACATTACCACTTTTACGGAAAACTTATTTGATACATTGATTAAAAAGTTTGTTATACGCGTTTTGAAACATTTTATTCATAAAATTTTTGTTTAACGAACTACAGACAACATTTTGGTTTAAGGTTCTTACTTTAAAATAATAAAATATAAGTTTCTTTCTGATTAACTTTATATGAATTCAAATTTTGTTAATATAAATGTAGTAACGTCATAAAATTGACTATTATATATCCGAGTACCAGCTTGTATACACTTTTAATAAGTAAGAAAAAGTAAGTGAAAAGCTTACTGCTCAGAGCTCTTCCATATAGAATTCTACCGAGGGGCTAAGCATTTTTATTAAAATTACGTCATTTCGTTAAAAATAAAGTTTGAAAATGTACCAATTTCAGACATTAAATCATGTCAATAAGACGTCAGAAAATAACATAATTTTGTTCAAAAAGGTTAACAGATTATTATTGCAACACTAAGCATAGTTTTTATCAGATTGTAATGTAATAATTTGTACCTATTTAAGATTAGTTACAAGTAATAAGTTATGAAAAGTGTATCAGTTGGCCAAATTATCATTGAGCAACATATAATAGTGGTCAAAGATGATGTAAGTAAATATTCATTATATTTGATTTAAAATCCAATATTTTCATTTTTAATACAGTGGATCTCAACAACTTTACGGCAGAGTGCTAATAATACTAATGAAACTAAGAAAATCCTTATAGAATTTCTACATTACATAATATTTCTTTAAATTAATTATTCTATTTTACATATAAAGCAGCATAAAAGTATAAAAATACTTGATAGATAATTGTACTTGGAACATTGATTTTCTCCAAATTCATGCCAAAGGGTATTCGATTAAAAAAAAAACTTATTATATTAAATTTATTTCAGTAGTACGGTTATTCAAGTAATTGTATTTTATCTTAATAGTATATTTATCTTACATTTTATTTTATTATACTTATTTTATATTTCATTTATTTATTAGACCTGTTATTTTATAGTACTAATGTATTAAACTGTAGTGGTTAGAAAATAACTTCTTTTAACTTGATTTGTTTATAATATTTGATAAAATTAAGTATTACATCTACAATTACCTACAATTAGGCCAGGAGTAACAAAACTTTTTAATCCAATTATTAAATAATTATAGAAACATAATAAGATTATTATGTAAAAATATACATTAAAACTTGAATAATCATATTAAAACATTAAAAACTATATTTTTTATTTTATTATTAATAAATTGAAATTAATGAATTAAGTTAATACGAATAAACACTTATACTGTTCTACGATGGAAAACTATATACATTTTGTAATGACAAAGTATCAAAACATCATTTATTGAATTAAATAGCATTTATAAAATATATTTCAATACAAAACTTGAACGTGAATAAGATGTTCTAAAAGCATTTATAGAAAAATATGGTTGTATAAAAGTTAATGTTATGCTTACTTCATCATTATCAGTTGATTCAGGAGAAGCAGAGATTACTTGAAGAGCAGGCGACAAACTAGATTCCTAGAAAATATATGTAGAATTAATAATAGAAATAAATAATATATAGCATTACAAGCATCCATTACTCACTGATTCATTTCTTGGCGACAAAACAGGTATTGCTACAGAAGATCCTGGTAATGACTGAGATGTAGTAGATTCATCACTGACAGAAGTGTTATCAATTTCATGCAAAACTTCTGCAACTTACTGGACAGAAATTTTATTTATTCATATAACATATTGTTTAATTAATACAATAATACACTCTTAAAAGTCTATATGCTCAAAAGTTTTTGTTGCATAATTTTATTTAAAAAGAGAAAATTGTTAATTTAATTCTCACAGCATAGTTGTCTCGCCACCTCTGATTTTCAATACTTGAATCTGATGAAGAAGCGTCTCTTTCCCGTCTTCTATGCCTATTATATCTTGTTGTCCTAGGCGTTTCAACATCAAGATCAAATCTTCCTAGGTTATAAGTGTGATTATTCATTGTTGCTGAAATTTAAATATATACGTTATTGAAATTTATTGTTACAGTTAAATTTATAAATAATAAGTATGTTACCTGCAATTAAAAATTTATAATATGCCTTCGCACTTTATGAGCCGTTATAATTTTCACTGAATAATTCACCGAATAATAATTCAAAATAAAACATAAACTGCACATACTATTGGTTTAGTATTTTTGTTGTTTCGCATTCTGCTTTTCTACTTCTGTTTACTGTAATCCTTTTGCTTTTTTTATTTTCTTATGTATTTAATATTAATAAAAAATAACATTAAAGTTTTGATAAATAAGTAGTATCTTAAACATCTGTATGATTTTATTTATTTTTCCTTTCATGGAAAAAAGTGAACATCGTAATGTGAAACAGCTGAACCATATATGAACAAAGAAACTCGGTTCTATGCGGTTCGGCAAAGTTATCACTTGATATTTATTTTTTAAAGCGATTTGTACAGAGGATACGAACAAACAAATAATAATGATTGCCCGCTTATCAATGTGTCGCAGAATCTATTTAGTTTTTTAATTATTTCAAAAAAAATAAAATTCAAATTTTAATGAATCTATTTTCTAGTTACGTACTGTGTCATGGTTATAAATGTTCTTTGTTCTGCAACCGGCTTCTTCCTTTGTCTGACGTACGTATATTATTTTTTGCAAATAATTTTTAAATTTCTAATCCAAGCAGTAACATTATTTTTAGGGTCTCAACATTTACAGATGTACTATAATCAAAGCAACATACAACTAATTATTAATAGGAGGGATTAATACGAAGGAGTAAATAATCGAAGCAATACAACTAATTATAGTGTCTCAACAACCAACGTTTTAATAAGGTTTATAATAAAAGTTTTAATAATTTTATAATTAATTTATATTTGTTGTGAAAAATACATGCATTTTTCCATATAATTCTGTAATAATAGGTTCTTTTCAATTCAGTTTTTTCAGACTATTATTATTGTATAAAATTATGTAGAGTAACGATTTATAAGAAAAAAAATTAAATTAATGCTAATAATTGTTTTATTTATGGTTGTAACTATATTCAAAGTTGAAATCTGTATTGATTTAACAATATTTATAATAGTTGTAGGTTTATTGATTACATTTGTAGTACACTAGTTAATTAATAATCGTTTTTAATAAAATGGACAGTGTTTGAGTATAAGTAATAAGAATTAAAGAAGTTATGTGAATCAACTCTTTTTTGTTATTTTAAGTTGTCTGGTTTTGTCAATTAACTATTCTAATTTGTAGTTGTTAAATGAGAAGTATGTTGCTGGCTTATCAATTATCTATGAACGTTTATATAATTTAAATAATTTGAACAGACTCGTACATTACCAATAGATATTGTTTTATATTATAGTTGTAAATGGTTACTAAAGGCAGTGTATTAATATTGGTTTATTATAATTACTACAGCAAGTTTATCAATTTTGAAATGATATTCTTCAGATTAATTTTAGATATGTGATTGGAAATTAAAATATAATATATAAATTTATCTTATAAGGTATAATATAAAAAATATTTTATGTTTTGTATGTATTTAAATAGTATCAAATAATTTTAAAACAATACCATTTATATTCTAAACGTATCCTTTAAGGTGAGGATCTGTTGAGAATTTTATTTTCAAAAATATTTCACCTACAGAAATGTTATACCTATATTAAGTTTTTACTGGTTCAAAAATGTATATGTTAATGTGCATGGAACTTTTCAATGTTTTAAAAATTACAAAGTGAGAAAAATGCCTTTGAAGTGAAAAAATTGAATAAAAAAAATAATTTTCTCTATCCCTCGGGCGAAAGCACGCATTTTCACGGCTTGTCTACGATGGAAGAAGTTGCACTTTTACCCACTCCGCGAGTGGCGCCACTTGTTTCACCGCGAGTGAAAACATTTTCGCCTGAAGTTTGAGGCGCAGCACGAAACTGTAATCCTATATGTTGTGAAGCGATAAGAAGCTGGCGACAACGTAGGATCATAGACAAAACAAGCCGCGGACTCATGCCGAAAGAAAGGAGGCTCGAGAAATAGTGTTTTTCTCTATCCCCGGGCGAAAGCGCACTGATTATTTAATCGCTAAACTAGAAAATCACATATTGTCTACATTCTAACTGCTGTCAAGACTGCGCAGCCATGTTCTTACTTTCGCCCGACGCTTTGGTAGTCGTAGCGCCCTTGCGGTCATCTGACATCGTGCTTCGAACTAATAGGGCCGATTCTATCTCAAATCATACGGAGCTCCATGGGCACCCATGAGCAAACCACACCAAACTATTTTTTTGAGATTCTATGATGAAAATAAAGCGACACGTATTTTATTTTTTTTGCCTTAGACGCATATTTGATTTAATATTGAATTTTGAAAATTCACTTCTAAAATTCAAAGTTAAAAAAAAATTTTAAGAGTTGGATTTCGACTTTCTACTGCTCGGTCATTATTAGTCCAAATCGGATGAAACTTTTTTCATATTGTAGCAAAATTGAAGACCTTCAAATGTACGTGATCAAAAATATGCAAAAATGCATTTTTCAGAAGATTATGCACTTTTGCATAAAAAATGCATCCTGTAAAAATACCGATTTATCTCAAAAAGGCCATCTTTTTTTTGGCCCATTTTTTTTTGTAGATTCGTTGTACCATCGTGTTCAAACGTATACCAGTCCGGTTTTTTATGGAGAAAAAAAATAAAGAAAAAAATTTTTTCTTCCGTGTCGAAAATTTGAATAATCTACGTAAATGTATGTTACTTCTATAAAAAAACTGTAAATCATTGAACGCTCGTGTTTACAAACACTGCCGCATTCTTTGAGTACGCGAGTACTATCCACATACGCATATCTGGAATTTGACGACAGTAGAAACTTGACTTTCTTGTAGTTATCATGTCTACTCTCGAAAATTATTCTGCAAAGAGACTGAAATGCCCCGATTATTTTCAAGTTCACAAAAAGTGCGTGTACCAAAGTAGAACATTGAACTTTCAAGTTGTGGGTGATTACGCAGGATTTTTGCAAACAAAGTTTGCAGATGAAAGTATAACTGTTAACAGTAGTGTATGTAGTAATTGCTACAAGCGTATTTACAGAGCTCATAATGATAGTGTAGATCATAATAATACGGTTGAGATCCCCGATTCGGTGGAAGTGAATGTGATTAACGTTGGTGGTGATAGTGAGTTTGAACTGGATTCTTCTGTACATGTTGATGAATTCAATAATGCAGTTATTTCAAAATTGGAAAATCCAGTATCGCCTTTGTGAAAAAAAGGAAATCTTTCCCACATGAACATCGAAACATATGTTCTTAAAAAAAAAAGACAACTCGTGTCATCTTTTACTAAAGCTACTAGCCGGAAGTTAAGAAAAATATATGATACACCACTTGAGGAAGAGCAAAGCTATTTGGGTCATATGTCCAAAGAATTAAAGGATAACGTAGCTAAAGCCTTTGATAGTTGTCGGAATATTTCAGACAAGATCAAGCTCTTGACCATTATAGCTCCTATATTATCTAAATGCCAAATCTTATCTTTGTTTCCACAAGTTACGGCTTACATGGTTGATAAAGCAAAAAAAATTTCTTGAAATGAAGGTAACTTTATTTTTAAAATATTCAAAATTAGATATATTTGTTGATAGTTTATTCTAAAAGCAGAAGTTTTATTGTGTAATTTTCGATTATAGGAATTTACAGTGAACCAGATCGCTATAATGGACATCCATTAGAAAAAGAAACAAGTGAAATAGTCATGCAATATTTTTTGAACGATGATTTTAACTGCTCAAGACAAAGTCCTAACAAATGTGACGTTATTACTGTGATTGAACATGGGCAAAGGGTGAAAAAAGTTAAACGTTTTTTAACGAGGAGTATGAAGGAAGTATACAAAGTTTTCAAAGAAGACAATCCTAGTATAAAAATTAGCAAATCAAAATTCTACTCAATGCGCCCAAAATATGTACTAATAGATCCAGTGAACGATGTATGCTTATGTATTTATTGTGCCAATTTTGATCTACTTCTCATTGCTTTGAAAAATTTTATTGGGCAAACAAGTACTAGTCTTTCGAGTATGCACTCTGAAATGTTATCAAATGTTGTTTGTTCAGCCCCTACAGAGTCTTGTAATTTTCAAGAATGCACTTCATACCCTGGCGCTAATGGCATCACATTCGACAAATTAAAAATTGAGGAATCTGAGGTAGATAGTGAAATATCATTTGCATTTTGGAGTAAAGGTACTCTAGAAATGAGAACGGTATCTATTGCTACGTTCAAGAAAGAGATTGCAGAGCATACCATCAAAATTATTTCTCACTTAAGGATTAAGGAAATACAAAGGTTAGAAATAAAATCTGAAAAAGAAGCAGTATCAAAAAACTGTCGATGGTTATTGATGCATATTGATTTTGCTGAGAATTGGACAGTAATTTTGAAAAATCCCGTTCAAGGAAACCACTGGGTAAACAAACAGATTTCAATTTTTACTGCAGTTATTTATGTAGGAAATATGGTGAAGAGTTTTGTTGTTGTCAGCGATGACCAAAAACATGATTTTTGTCATGCTTTATTAGCGATGAAAAAAATTATTGATATAATTGAAAGCACAGTTAGTGAAGACAATATTGTACTGGAGTCGATCACCATATTATCGGACGGTGCTGCAAGTCATTTTAAAAATCGTTTTCAGTTGCATGAGTTTCGAAAAGGAACCATTAATAAAAAATGGATATTTTCTGCAACCGGTCATGGGAAAGGTGCTGTTGATGGTTTAGGAGGTTTAGTAAAACATTATGCAACGGTACATAATTTACGTTCTTCCGAGATCGACGCTATTCAATGTTCTGAAAAATTTGTTGAATATGTTCAAAGCTATACTACTTCAATACAGTTAATACACCTAGAATCTGAAGAACTTTAAAATTTTCGTAACGAGAAAATTGAAGATAGGAATAGTTCCATAAAATTCGATGGTATCCAAAGATGCCACATGTGGAAGTCTGAACCATCCAATGGGAAGAGCAAGTGTTTTATCGCTAGAACTGCAGTACATGAATGGATTGAGATGGAGAAAAAAGTAAAAATGACTAAAAGGAAAGTCAAGGTGAAGAAAACTTCGGCTAAAAGAGGAAAATATGGTCAAGTACGTCAAAGAAAAATAAAGTTTTATCAGGAAAAGTTAAGAAAGTGAATAACAAGCGAAAAAACAAAAAAAAGAAAAATAAATAAAGAATAGATTCAAGATATATTAAAAAATAAATGTGAAACATTATTTTATTTACTTTTGAACCTTTTTTTTATAAAAGTAATATACATTTACATAGATTATTCAAATTTTCGACACGGAAGAAAAAATTTTTTTTTTTATTTTTTTTCTCCATAAAAAAGCAAAAACCGGAAACCGGACTGGTATACGTTTGAACACGATGGTACAACGAATCTACAAAAAAAAATGGGCCAAAAAAAAGATTGCCTTTTTGAGATAAATCGGTATTTTTACAGGATGCAATTTTTATGCAAAAGTGCATAATCTTCTGAAAAATGCATTTATGCACATTTTGGATCACGTACATTTGAAGGTCTTTAATTTTGCTACAATATGAAAAAAGTTTCATCCGATTTGGACTAATAATGACCGAGCAGTAGAAAGTCGAAATCCAACTCTCAAAATTTTTTTTTAACTTTGAATTTTAGAAGTGAATTTTCAAAATTCAATATTAAATCAAATATGCGTCTAAGGCAAAAAAAAAAAAAAAATACGTGTCGCTTTATTTTCATCATAGATTCTCAAAAAAATAGTTTGGTGTGGTTTGCTCA